GCATTGTTGACTGCTGCTTTGATGGGAGGTGGCTGTGTGTGCTTGCTGATGGCTTTCCTCACCATTGCCAGCAGCTGCCTCAAGTTGGCCAGTCCCACAGGCATGGGCACAGGGCCAGGAGGAAGGGCTAGATGAGGGAGCTTTTGCAATTGCCCCAACTGCTCTGGCTTCCCTGCGTGGTGATGAGCAGAGCCCCAGCCTGGAGAGAGCAACAAAACAGCCACTTCCTTCCTTGCTGGGGTCCTGCAAGCTGTGGTTGCCAACCAGGAGGAGGTGTGAAGCTCCTGTGGCTGCTGAGACAGCCCAGCCCGGGCCCTACCTTGGCCCCTCCTGTGCCCCCTGGTACCTTCGTGTCCTGCCCTCCCCCAACGCAGTAGGGTTCTGGGGTCACACCCTCTGTTCCTACAATCGTGCAAACAACATTCTCTCCTCTGACGGTCCCCAGGGTCTCCCCTCCTCTTGGGGAGAGCCCTCAGTTTCCTTCTATCCCAGCCAGAGGCCATTCTCCATCATGCTGGAACCCTTGTCCTTCCAGAGTACTTCCTCCCAACTCTCCCAGCCTTCCATGGCCACTGACCCTGCATCAAGCAGCTTCACTGGTCTCTCTATTTCATGTCTGTACTTTATTTATGTTTTAAAATATATTTTATTGATTTTTTACAGAGAGAAAGAGAGAGGGATAGAAAGTTAGGAACATTGATGAGAGAGAAACATCGACCAGCTGCCTCATGCATATCCCCTACCAGGGATGTGCCCGCAACCAAGGCACATGCCCTTGACCGGAATCAAACCTGGGACCTTTCAGTCTGCATGCCGACACTCTATCCACTGAGTCAAACCAGTTTTGGCTCATGTCTGTACTTTAAAAACAACCATTACTGCCCTCACGTCTCCACCATCACCACCCACGGAAAACAAATTGCATCTTTTACCCCACCCCACCCCCACTAAAGTCAAACAAAATGCTGATACCCAATGGCAGTACCATCAACCAACATCAAACGAAACGACGATTGATTCTGCTACCAATGTCCCTACCACCACCCACCACCACAATCACTAACACCAGCAACCCATACTAACTAACCACCATCAAGATCACAATACTAGCCATCTGCAACCACACAGCCAACTACCACTGAAGCAGCAACCAACAATACCCTTTCCAAAAACCACCAGTACATCACCACTACTGCTGATGTTGTCACCAAAAATGAAAGATGAACTACCAACAGCAAACAAGCATCACCTTCAGGCACCCAACTCTGAATAACAGTGACCACAAACTGCCATGATTCCACGGATCTACCCTCCAGATCAAAGCAACCAACCACCATCCATCAATGTTCATCACCAGCTGGCACCCAAAACAACCATCACCACTGCCAACCTACCCACTGGAACCATTGTGACCACCAACACGCCACAACCAAGAGCAACATCATCACAACCAATGGCAACCACAACCCAACAGCTCAACAGTTATCTTCCAACAGACACTCCTCTTCAATCACTAAGAATGAGTCACCTCCACACACTGTGATCACTAACCCCAGCCATGAATAAGCTCTGAACATTTCACTGAAGCTTTCAACACTCCCTGCACATATCACTTCTCCAGGCAGATGTCAGAGGTGCTGGTCTCAGGGGTGGGTTCCACTCTTTTTTCTTTTCGGTTGTGTTCCTCTGGGATGAGTTTCGCCCTCCCCAGACCCTATTACCAAGCAAGCAAACATTGACTAAGCATTTTTCACACAGCTTCCTTGGGAGGGGCTGCTTTTCTCTCAAGTAGCAGATAATTTCCTGTGTTCTTTTGATCAAAGCCTGCCCATCTCAGCTCCTGAGTCTTCCTGGCTTGGCTCCTTCTTGGATGAGTTTCTGTCCCAGGTCCAGAGCTCTAGCTGATGGCTCAGTTGTAAATTACCCAGGTGCATCTTTGGCCAGAGATGCCCCACTTGTCATCAGCTCTCTGAAGTAAGATGTCCGCGCTCAGACTAACACAGATGCTGCTGCCTCTTGGTCTACCTCCCTGCCTCCACCGTGGCCAGCTGCTTGCTGCAACTGCCAGAGGTCCTGCAGTTGTCACCACCGGCCCCGTGACTGTTCCAACCACACGCCCCCATTGACAGGATGACAAACAATGAAAGTTGAAGTGGTTGCAGATGCCTAGAGCTGCGGGGGTGACTTTTACCACCAGCTCAGGCTCTCCCTTAAGGTGTATGCTTGATGCTGTTGTATCTAAATATGGTCACTGTTATACCTCCCCCTCCCAGGCAGGTCACCTTTGGCTGCAGTGCCCTCCTTGCCATCCTCACATGGAAGGTACCAGTGGGGGTGCAGATACGCTACATCTCACAGCTGCTTTTGGGATTGCTACAGCCAGCCCCCCCTCCCCTCCTATCCCCCATTACCCACACAGGCATGTATCACTACACCATCACTGTGCCCTACCACCCATCTGACAGTTCAAATGTGTCAAACCCACAGACCCTCTGAAGTTCCAAAGGAGAGGTTCTCGATCGACTTCCAAATATGTCCTATGTGGGAACTAAGGCCAGAGAGGGGACTTGGCTGTCCCAGGACCAAACGGGGAGATAAGGCACCAAGCTGAGCTGGAAACCGGGTTTCCTAAGCCCCAAGACAAGGGTATGTCCCTGTCCTTGCAGACACTGTGTGACCCCCTCAGGGCCACCTTCCATCCTCCATTTCTCGGGCCCTCCCTCCCCCCATCATTATTCTGGCATCCTGTCCACCATTAGACGGGAGTTTGGTCCTGGTGAGGGATGCTGGGAGCACATGAGCTGCATGGAGGGACCCCCCTAAAGGGCCTGCCGAGCCCCATTCACACGGCTGTACTTTCTGATGGCGGCCTCCGGGGCAACTCCACCTGACTGGGACCCCCCAACCCCTGCACTTCAGGGCCCACTTCCTTGAAGGACTTACCATGGTGGGGGTGGTATCTGGGTCCCAGGGGGTGCTTGAATGGGTTGTGGTAGGGGTGCAGGCTCAGGGGGTTCCGGGGGGTGGTTCAGGCATGGCCCTGCTTCTCCTTCACCAGGCTCCCAGCCCTAGTTCCTCTTACAACAGCCCCCCCCTTTCACTTCCTTTGGCGGGAGGGGCCCGTGGCTACTGGGGAGGGAAGCTAGGCCCAGGGGGCGGGGAGAGAGCGCCAGCGGCTGGCAGGGCTGAGAGCTGGCTGTCTGGGGGCTCTGAGCCTGAAGGGAGACTCAAGAGCTGGTCGAAGCAGCTGCCAGACTCCTGAAGGCCCCTTCTCCAGCTCCCTGGGCACAGGGGTGGCAGGAAGGGGCACCCAGGACAGTTGGCTGCAGTACTGACCGCTCTGTCCAAGGTGGCCCCCAGGCAGCATCTGGGCTGCCCAGGTCTCTACAAAACCGCTTGACACCAGCCTCCTCTGGGCTTCCCTGAACAGACACCTGCTTCCCGAGCGGCCTCAGACGGGCCTTTAGAACAGCCTGCAGGTGCCCGTGTGTCAGGGGGAGGGCCACGGGAGTGGCAGGTGCCAGGTGCACTTGGAAGGTCCACCTTTGGAGGTCAGATCTGGAGTTAAACCCTAGCTCTGCTACTTCTGGGGTCCCCCCATTTCCTCATCATAAAACGGGGATGCAGGCCTCTCCAGCAGCATCTGGCAGAAGCGGGATCCATAAAACGTGGACCCACGTCCGGATCTTTGGGAAATCAGCAGGCCATGTACTGGTCTCCTCTTGAGAACTGGGAAACGGCAGTTCTGAGAGGCCATCACCTCCCATCACATCCCCGCCCAGCCAGGAGGCGGGGAGCCGCCGGGAGGGGAGGAGGAGGGGGAGGGGAAACGCCTGTGGCCGGGGTTGCACAGCATCCTACCTAGAGGCTGCCAAGATGGGTCTTCCCCTCGTGGCCACATATGAGGGGGCATCCTTTTCTCTCCGAGTTGCTTGTGCACCTTTGCTCACGGGATTGGTTTGCACAGGCAAACCTCAGCGAATGCCTCCAGGCGCCAAGGGTGAAGATGTGGGCAGGAGGACCTCCGCTTTGCTGGGCACGAGGGAAGGCAACCTTGTGCAGAGGGCAAGGAAGTTGGAGCTCACCAGGTGAAGAGGGAAGGGGAAGGCACACCTGGCCGAGGAAACAGCTCAAGCAAAGGCAGGTGCGCCTGGAGCTTTGAGAGTAACCAAAGTGTTGGTGGCTGGGAGGGGTGGTGTCACACTGAGACTGTGAGAGACTCTGCAAAAAGCCATGCATCTGCCCTAAGGCCCCTGGGCTCCAGCTTGTGTTGGCAAAAGCCTCCTTCCAGGCTGCTGGCTGCTTCCAGCCTGGGTCACACACACACACACACACACACACACACACACACACCAGGCGCACAGATTTACACAAGACAGAACTTTATTGATGTAGCACTTCCTGGCGAGGGGTGTGTGGGCCCCAGGGCAGGGCCTGTAGCACCATGATGGGGGTGAGCAACCGGGCAGAGGTCGGGTGGATCTTCTCACCTCTTACCCACCCCTGTAGCTGGTGTCGTCAAGGGGAGGCTGTCAGGAAGTCCTGCTAATTCCCTTTCCCCATGGTGGACGGAGACCCCCTCCAGCCCAGAGTGGAGGGAAAGGGCAGTGCTGGGGACCAGGGCGCTAGCTGACCCCTTCCCCACCCTCACTCTTCACAGTATGTATTCCAACCAAAGGTGGGGGACCTCAGGGGGCTCCCTAGGGGTGGGTGAAAAGAGCGCCACGTCAAACAGTCGTTCCCTTCCCCGCTCCCCTCGCCCCCCCGAGGGGGTCTCACTGCGAACTGGGACAGGAGCTGAGGAGGGGCCCTGCGGATGGCCAGCCCCTCTCCGTCTCCCAGCCAGGGCCCTGCATGGGTTTCCAATAAATAATTTCCGCTCCATCTCACCCTTCACTCCCAGCTCCTGCCCTGGCGGGCTCCTTCGGACTGGCCAGCTGCAGCCGGTCCCCTCCACCCCCAAGCTGGCGCTCAGCTGTGGCTCAGGGGCTGCTGGCCCCCTAGCGGCCGTGGCAGGTTTTGCAGCACATCTGGCGGAAGTAGGCTCGGCTGCAGAACTGAAATTTGAGCACTAGGGGGCAGTAGGCGACCTTGTTCACATCCTTGCACTCTGCGGAGGGAGGGAGGGAGGGAGGGGGTTGGGAATCAGGTCTCGGAGCCCCTGGGCTCCCCGTGGATTAGTTCACGCCACCCCTCCACTGCGGCATCCTCTCAAGTGGATATATTTTTCACCCCCTCACAGTTGAGAAAGGAAGGCAAGAGGTGGAAGGTGAACTCAGGCAGTTTGGTTCCTGTACCAGGAATAAGTACAAAATTTTTACTCTGATAGGGGGGGAAAGGGTATATTTAAAGAAGTTGATCTTTATGGGGTATATTTATAGAAGATGTGACTACAACCCCCCTGGTCTGGAGACATTTCTGGTTATCACCACTGGAGGGAGGGGTCCTATTGGCATCAGGCAGGTAGAGGTCAGGGAAGCTGCTAAATATCCACAATGCACAGGGCAGACCCGGGACAAAGAATCACGTGGCCCAACACGTCAGTAGTACCTGAGGTTAAGCAACTCTGTCTTAAAGAAAGAATATTAGCCTAGCCGGTTTGGCTCAGTGGACAGAGCGTCAGCCTGTGGACTGAAAGGTTCCGGGTTCAATTCCTGGTCCAGGGCACATGCCTGGGTTTTGGGCTGGATTCCCAGTAGGGAGCATGCAGGAGGCAGCCGATCCATGATTCTCTCTCTCTCTCTCCCTTCCTCTCTGAAATCAATAAGACTATATTAAAAAAAAAAAAAAGATTATTAGGCAAATAATGTGTAATCGGTGGAGATGAGCAAGTCGAAGGTCATGGAGGTGGCTGGGGAGGAACCCCAGTCTGGGCTCCCCAAAGGGACCCGGTGCCTAGAACCCTGGCACACAGGGGCCCTTAGTGCAGGTCTGTTCGAGGGGGCAGCGAGGCTGGCCCGGAGCAGGGAAAGGGCACTCGGTGGCTGAGGAAGGTCTCCGGCCAGTGGTGAGGACCCCACCCTCTCCAGCGGCTCCCCCTGGACAGGGCCCTCCGCCCACCTACCTTCCGGGCTGTCCCCGGGGGGCGGGCTGTCGCACTTGGCCTCGCACTGCTGCGTGGCGGGCGGGCGCAGGGCCTCGGCGCACTCCCGGGACGGCTGGCCGGTGTGGCTGGAGCAGCGCACCGCGCGCTGCTGCTGTCCGAGGCCGCACTGCGCCGAGCACTGCGGGGGCCTCGGGTGAGCCTCTCCCCGGCCGCCCCGCCCCGGCTCCGGCCCCGGCCCCGGCCCCAGCCCCCGGGCGGCCGCCTACCTCGCCCCACTCCCCCGCCACCCAGCGGGCAGGGGGACAGCGGCGCAGGTTGCAGCGCATGGTGGCCGGCGGCTTGGCTGCGGGCGGGCAGTGCGCGGGCGGCAGTGTGGCCCGATGGTCGGCGCTCTTGCAAAGGACTACACGGTGGCGGAGGCCGGGCCCGCAGCTGGGGGTACACTGCGGTGGGAGGGGGCGGGTCACGCTCAGCAGGCGGTCCCTCCCCTCCCCACGCGCGTAGGGGGCCGAGAGGGTGCCCTGGTCCAGGGGACGGTGAGGAGGGGCCGGCTCATCTTCGACCCATCGAGGGGGGTCCGCCAGGGCTAGGGGGGGGGGGACTCGTGCCTGCAGAGGGTACCCCGGGGGCACCCAGCACCCGGGCCCTGCCCCATGTTGCGCGGGGAGGGAGTGGGTGGGGAAATGGGAAGGGGGGGCTGACCTCCGACCAGTCCAGGGCAGCCCACTCCGGGGGGCAGGCGGGGCCGTGGCAGGCCTCCAGCACGGGCGGCCGCGGCTGCGGGCAGGAGCTGTCGTCCAGGGTCTTCTCCTCCGCGGCGGACACGCGGCGCAGACACACCACCGAGCGGCTGCGCACGCCCGCGTCACAGGTGCGGCTGCAGCGGGACCAGTTCCCCACCGCCCAGCTGCGGGGACACGGGGCTCACAGCGTGTGGCGGGGCGCCCCGACCCTGGGCAGCCCGACCCTGGGCAGCCCGACCCTGGGCGCCCTGACCCTGGGCAGCCTGACCTGGGCACCCTGACCCTGGGCACCCCAATCCTGGGCAGCCCGACCCTGGGCACCCTGACCCTGGGTACCCACCGGCACAGCCTCCTCCCCAGCAACCGGCATCGCCATGGAAACGGAGTAGCCCAAGCCCCCGCCTGGGGCAGGGAGGCCCCACAGCCCAAGGGAAGAGGAGGAGGACTATCTGCACTTGGCTAGGGAGCACCCACTCTGGCTCCAGGAGAGCCCGGCTCTGCCTTGGGGAGCACAGTCCCTCCAGTCCTGGGACCGCATGCTCCTCTGATGGCAGCAGCACCCGCTCCCCGCCCTCCCCAGGCCCCGCAGGGACTCACTCAGGCGGGCAGGGCTCGGTGTTGCAGGCCCGCTGCCTCTTGGGAAGCTTGCTCTGGGCGCTGCAGTGGTGCGGGGCCACGGCCGAGCTGTCCAGCTGGTTTCGGCACTCCACGGCCTGCACCTGGCTGCCTGGGGGCAGGCGAGAGGCCCACTCAGCGCTGCCCCCTCCAGGAGGTCAGGTGGCGAGTGCACCCGGGCCCCACCCCGGCCCTCACCTCCGGCACACTGGGCAGAGCACTTGGTCCAAGGCGAGTAGTGCCAGGAGTAAGGGGGCAGCGCGTCGCGGACGATGGGCGCGTTGAACCGGTAGCGAAGGGCGGGCAGCTCGGTCCTGGCCAGCACCTGGGGGGGAGGATGTGTCACAAGGAAGTCAGGCTCGGAGTCCCCACGAGGGGGCCTTGTCCTCCTGCACCAGGCCCCACCGTTACCATGACGATGAGAGACGCATTGATGGGTCCCAGGGCTTCTAGGCTCTGTGTCTGGTTTGGCCCAGGCCGCAGCTGAAAGGTGGTCCCGGCCAGGGACAGGCGGTGGGGCTGCGGGGTCCTGGGCACGTCCTCCAGCAGCAGGGACTCCTGGTCCCCCTTCAGGGCTGCGGAGAGTGTGCGAGTCAGAATTCCGGCCAAGCTTACCCCCGGCCCTCCTCCCCTCACCCCCGTCTCACCCAGGTGGCTGAGGGAGAGGTTCAGGTCCTGGATAAAAATGTGGATGGAGCCTTTGGGGATCCAGACGACTTCCTCGTACCCTGGACGGGGAAGCGAGGCGTCACCCACTCGGCGCACCCCCCACACTCGCCTGCCTGCAGCCGTGGATGAGAGCAGCCAGCCATTACCGGGCTAAGTGTGTCCAGGGGCCTATACTGCACCCCCAGCTCCAGCATCCCAGCTCCAGCCTATGAAGTAGATGTAATGTCCCCATTTCACACTTAACAAAACTGAGGCTCAAAGAAGCAAAGCTAAAAACAAAACAAAACAAAACAAAAACAAAAGCAAAGCGACTTGCCCAGGTTTGACAGATAGGATGTAGCTGGGCTAGGATTTGAACCTGCCTTTCTAACCACCAACGTGGCCTGGTCTGTCTCGCTCTCCACCCCGCCCCCCCCCCCCCCCCCCCAGTAAGCAGCAAGTATAGGCCCCAACCCACACAGGTGAGGCGGTGGGCTTAGCACTCAGAGTAGGGTCTGCAGTGGGCTTCACGGCTTATGCGCCCCTAAGCGCCCCTGTCCCTGCCCACGTGTGTGCCAAGTGCTGGTCGAACTGCCTGACCTCTGACCTAGCTCCTGAGCCACACGTGGGCAGGAGGCCCCTGGATGGGACAGGGGAGAGATTTAGGTGTCCCCCCCCCCCCCTTAATTGCCAAGATTTTGGCTCCAGAGCCCAAGCCAGTCCCTGACTCCGATCTGGGGCGTCGCTGGGTCTTTAAGACTCTTGGGGTCTCAGTACGCCACTGGGTCCCTGGGTCTGAGGACTTGCTCATCTTGACTGCTGTGGTGGGCCGGTTTTGTGAAGCCCGGGCGGGAGTGTGACAGGAAGTAGGGGTGTCTTACCGGCCCCAGGCGAGGCCGGGCTGAAGACCCCCTCGATGGTTTCGCAGGCACTGCCGTCGCCCCCGCACACTCGGCACTTGTCCTCCCGCAGGTCGGAGCCCAGGACCCGGTCGCAGCCCACGTGCTGGGGAGGGCAGCGGTGGTGGGGGTGTCAGTGAGGTGCCCATTCCCCCGTCCCCATCCTTCCCTCTCTCTGGAAGTCCCTTCCACCTTGCACTCGCCGCTGACACAGATGTCCACCGTGTCTGGGCGGCAGGGTGTCCCGTCCACCACGGCGGCTGCCCTCTCCGTGTAGAAGTTGAAACCTTCCGCTAAGCAGGTGAGCGAGCAGGCCTTCACGCCCCCTGGGGGCATGGTCCCATCAGACCGAGGGCCAGGAGGCCCCGGGGCTCCCTGGGGGAGGTGAGGCCAAGAGGGACAGACCCCAGGTCCGTGAAGACTAGGCAGGCTAGGCAGATGGAATGGGGGCTCCCAGCATTCAGTCTGGCATTCTGGCTCCTTGAGTGAGGGGAGGGCTCAGGGCAGACCCCAAGATGCTGTCTCCACCTGCTGTTGGATGCTCGCACGGCTTCCTCAGCCCCCGACTCACCTCCTCGGTATGTTTTCCACGTGTAGAATTTCCCACGGAAGGGGACGCTGTCAAATTCAGAGCACTGCATTTCCCTAAAGTCCTGGGAGCCAGGGGGACAGTCCTGGGGGCACGAGACGGGAGAGGGAGGGAGGCCAGGTGTCCAGGGGTGGAGTCAGGGCAGAGGCCTCAGGCGGAGGACTAATGCTCAGAGCAGAGATGAGCTGGAGGAGTGAGGCTGGAGGCAGGGAGGCCGGGAGGAGGCTGCGAAGGGTTGGCTAGGTGCAGGCCGTGGGGCTGGCAGGACAGGTGCATTGAGAGGGACTAGGTGACGCAGTAGATGGCAGAGGCAAGCTGGGGATGATGCCTGGGTGTCTAGTTACAGGCCTGCGCCTTTCTTGAGAGCAGACCTATAAAGGAGCGAGGCAAAGTGGGGAAGTGCCCAATGCTTTGTGAGTGTGAGGGGCCTGTGGACCCCTCAGAGACACGAGCCTACCCCTCATCAGTGGCTCTGCACCCTCCTAGCACTCCGTGCTGCAGCCAGTCTTGTGCTTATTGGGTGTGTGCACCTGAGATGCATTGACACCAGGACGAGCCAGGGGGGTCACAGCATTAAAAAGGGGCAGCAGAGAAGCCGAGAAAAGGGGTGCAGCCTGGGGCGGGGCCTGGGTGATGCAGGCGAGGTGGGAGTTTTAGCCAGGAGGCACAGCCCCGTCAGAAGAGGGCTGCCGGCCGGTGCCAGGGAAGTCAGAGACAGCTTTGAGGCAGGGCTCTGGGAAACTGAGCCACACGGGGTGTGGAAGACTCATCTACGCAACAATCGGAAGGAGCCCGGTCCTTGTGGCTCAGTGGTTGTGCATTGACCTATAACCAGGGAGTTGAGGTTCGATACCCAGTTAGGGCACATGCCAGGGTTGCCAGCTGGATGCCCAGTAGGGAGTGTGCAGGAGGCAGCCAACCAATGATTCTCTCTCATAATTGATGTTTTTATCTTTCACTCCCTCTTCCTTCTTCTCCAAAATCAATACAAATATACATGTATATGTAAAAAAAGAGCCCTAGCTGGTTGTCAGCCTGTGGACTGAACGGTCCCAGGTTTGATTCCTATCAAGAGCACATGCCTGAGTTGTGGGCTTGATCTCCAGTAGGGGTTGGGCAGGAGGCAGTGGGTCAATGATTCTCTCTCACCATTGATATTTAAATTTCTCTTTCTTTCTCTCTGAAATATTAAAAAAAGAGAATGGGAAGGAGCCAGGTCGCTCTGGAGATGTGGGGTGGGGGGTAGACTGGGATCGGGTGGGTGGTGGTTGGGGGCAGGTGCAGAGGGGCCAGGAGGGAGGGGAGAAAACCTGGGAGTTGATTTATGGCTTTTCCCCCTGAGGAACCGGCTGGGGGAACTCACATCCGTGTTGCAAGAGCGATGCCGCCGCCTCTCGCCCAGGCAGTACTTGCCCCCGATGGTCGGCCTGGAAAGGGAGGGAGAGCAGGAGGGATGGGCAGGGGAAGCAGGGGGCCCCTCCGTTTCCTCGCAGGGGGTCCCCAGGGCTGACCTGGGGCTGTCGCAGTGCCGGCTGGAGGAGGACACGCCACCGCCGCAAGTCCGGCTGCAGTCGCCCCACGGGGTCCACGGGCCCCAGGCCCCATCCACGCCCTCTGGTCGCGACCCGAAGGGGACGCACACCCGCTTGTAGCACCACTGTAGTGGGATGGGGGGGCGGAGAGGCATGCTCGGAAACCCTCAGGGGGTTGGGGCTCCCCTCCCACCCAGCCGGAGGTCTGGGCTCCCCCGGAATGGGGCTGATTGGGACAGAAGCGGGGTGCAGACAGATGGCAGAAGGGTGTGGCCAGGGAGCCAGACCCCACGTCCCAGGGGCATGAAGCTGGTGCTGGGACAGTGGTGCGGGCGGGGCTGGGGGCGGGGCCTGCAGGAAGCGGGCGTGGCCAGGGACCACGTGACCCGGGAGGCCAGGCTGGGGGTGGGAGCGGCCCGAGGACAGGGGGCGGGCCCTGGCCGGCGGCTCACCCCCTTGTCGATGGTGTGTGTCTGGCACAGCGTGCCCTCTGCCGCCGGGATGCTGTTGGTGATGCACCGGTTGCTCTTGCTCAGACACCACAGCTCGCTGCAGACCTCCTGCGGCCGAGATGCCCGCTCAAGCTCGCCCTCCTCCCGGGGGGACCCAGGCTCACTGCCCGCTGGGCAGTGGGGCCCTGGGTCTCAAGGAATCTTCTCGGACACCGTAGCAGGGTTTGGCCTGGGCCCTCCTCGCTGCCTACACACGCACTGCACTTACTGAACACCTATGTGTGGCATACATTCCTGGTGACATCCTCCCAGTTTTACTGCGAGAAAATCAAGGCCAGGCCAGGCCGTTTGCTGAGGGTTACACAGCTACTAAAGGGCAGCCTGGTTATCAACCCCGACCTTTGACTGAAGGGTCCGTGATATAACCCCTTATCAGTTCAGCCCCTGGCACCCGAGTTTCTAGAAGGAAACCTGGGATTGCTGAGGAATGCAGAGGAAGCGTTCTGCATTCCTTTCTGGGATGGGCAAAGCAGCGGTTCAGAACATCAGGCCTGGAAGACGGCTCCCGTCAGGGGCCCCATCTCTAACTTCTCTCCAGTGGGTGGTGCTCCTTGTTCCCTTCACTTACACTGGGGACGTTCTCAAAGGTTTCCATCTACGGAGGGCTGGGAGAGGACAAGCTAGGCTGGTCCTGCTGGGACTGGGCCAGGACCTGGCCAGTCCCAGGAAGTCACCCTAGTCCTTTAGGTCCAGGTTAATGTCACGGGACCAGCCCCATTGGATTCAGGGGTGGCCAGATCGTAGGTAGACTCTCCCGCTCACATCCTGCCCCAGGGTCTTCCCCCGGTGAAGTGGAGATCCTTCCATCTCCTGTTTGTAAGCACATGTGCTCCCCTCTGAGAAAGCAACCCTTCCAACCTCGAAGGCGTGGCAGTGGACCACCCTTTGCTGGGTCAGCTTCTGTGGGACCTGTACGTACACGAAACGATTGGAGGGCTGTCCTGAGAGCTCTCTCTACCACCCTCCAGGGTCCCTGCCTTTTGCCCCATTCAGAGGACACTTCTCAGCTAAAACCTCAGCCTGGTCTTCTGGCCTCACATGGCTGGGTCCTCCTGGCCATTTGTAAAAATATCACGTGCTCTGACGCCTCCTGGGGAGATGCCTATCCAGCCCGGCTTCCCCTCCTCCGCACAAGGACACACGGGGGATAATATGGATGCTTCCACCTCCCACTCTGGGCTACCGTTTCCTCATCTACCAGATGGGCCTTGCCTACGTAAAAGGTAGAGAGGCAGGTGACAGAGTAGATGTGAAAGGGCTGGCAGATGCCCTGCTGCAGAGTAACCTTGACCATAGCTAACTCTGGACCAGACACTAGGTAAGCCCAGCCCCTCAGACGTGTTAACCAATTTATATGTAGTCAACAACTCCCCTTTGCCAGGAGGGCAAGGAACACAATCTTTGGAAAAATAAAAGGGAGAATCAACTTAACCTACCACTAGCACTGATCCATGTCTGCTATCTGGCCCTCCCTCCCCTCCCCCTGCTCTATAAAATCTGGTCCTAGGGAGACCTGGATTTAAATACCAACCCTGGGAAAGCACTCTCCCCCTGCCTCAGTGTCTCCATCTGTAACGTGGGGATAAAGGCCATGAGGAGCTTAAAGAGATGATCTATCAGTGTTTCCCAAACTTTTGACATATGTGTACCCCTTCTATAATTTTCGTAACGCTGAGTACCCCTCGTACTCATGAGAACGTAGAATTAGGCGCAGCTAAGCACGGTGCAGTGCATACCCCCACCGAACTCTTCCCGTACCCCTGGGGGTACGCGTACCACACTTTGGGAAACACTGATTCTAGATCACATACTTTGGCATCTAGTGAATGCCTGGTAAATGCCAACCGCTGTTACCATTCTTAGGATACCCGGGGGGAGTTCCAGAATTCTTTTGGAATTCATCAGAGAGGGCTATCGTCACCAGTCAAGTCAGGGTGTGTGGGCAAGAGAGGAGTGTCCATGACATGTAAATCGATCCAGGGTTTGTCTCCTTGCCTCGCACTGAAATGAAGTGAGGGCCTGTGAACAGCTGCCTGCTCCTTGCTCTGCGTTAACGTGGCCTTAGCTTGGACATGGCCTTGCAAACACTGACCTTTTTTGAGTTTGCAGGGTGTGAAGTGTTGGGACTGGGTCAGACTACTAGGGCTAAGGCTGTGAGGAGGCGGGGTGTGTTTTGGGAATTAGGGGAGGTGGGCAGTAGGGGGGCAGCTGGTGGCCCTGGTGGCTGAGGAGGAGGCCAGCAGGCTCAGCTCGCCGGAGGGAAGCTGGGAGAAGGACCCTCGCTGACTTCTTTATGCATCGCGGGGGCTTTGGCAGCTGAGTCTAAGTCTCAGGAAAGAGCTGGGAGTAGTCATGAGGTTCAGAGCTCGCTTGTCCAGCAAAGGACTGGGGCCAGCAGCTCTGTATACCGGCCGGTAGGGATGTGGGGAGTGCAGACAGGGTGTCCAGTGCTTTGCCAAGTGGGAAAAATGGGCAGTGAGGGCTCTCGGGACTCTAGTCCTGCCGCACCCCGACATGCTGCACCAAGGGGGGCCTCCCCATCTCCCCAGCCGTTTCCAAATTCGGAGTGTGGAGATCCAGGAGATCCCACTCCTGTCCCCAATCTCGTCTGATGGTGACATCTGTACAACCCAAGGCCCCTCTGTGCCTCCAGGCCCCGTGGGGCTCACTCCTCTTCCTGGCTCTCCCAAACCCACTGCCCGGGGTGGGGGTGCCCATGTAGAGCCACCCACCCCTGCCACCCTCTCCCCTCCCAGGAAGGAAAGCAGGAAGGCTCTCTCTACCCCGTATTTACACTGACGCGATTTGACTCCATGCTGGAAGCGGCACTGCTCATCGGCATCGTAGGCCTGGCCGGGCGCCACGGTGGGGTACACGAAGTCCTGTCTGGGGGGCCGGTTGTTCAGGCAGAGCCCCAGACCTGAGCTATGGCAAGAGGAAAGCAGCTGTCATGCTGGGGGGGGCGGCAGGCCAAGAGCTCAGGGGGTCCGGCTGGGTGGGGTCCCGGGGAGCAGCCCCTGCAGGCGACACAACCCTTCTCAGAGGCAGCCCTGGTATGCAGGGGACCCCCGCCCCGCGACACGCGTGTGAGCCTCTAGGCGGGAAAGGCGGGTCCGTCCTCACTCCAGGAAGCTGGTGATGTAGTCGCGGCTGCAGGATGACCACACGAACGGGTTGGTCTTCATGGTAATGTGGGCAGCCATGAGCTTCGCGGGGTCCTGGCCCCGGGCCCCGCAGCTGTTCCCTACGCCGTCGTGGTTCATGCCAAACCTGGGGAGAGGAGTGCTGGCTGTGCCGGTGCCGGCGAACCTGCCCGGATCCTCCTGGCCTCCCCTTCCCATGCCCCCTGGCCTCACGTGTGTCCGATCTCGTGGGCAATGGTGAACGCTGTGGCCAGGCCAATATCCTCATTGATGCTGCAGCTTCTCTCGCGCTCGCACATCCCTCCCACGGGGGCCAGGCCTGGGAAATGGGCACGTGGGATGGGGCTGGGGCTCAGCGCTGTGTCGGTTGGCCCCATCCACCCTGCCAAGTCCCCACCCTCACCGGGGCCAGGGCCACCCAGCCCACTGCCTTCCTAGGTGCCAGGAACCGAGGGGCATGGTACCTAGTGTGCCGCAGGGCTTGTTCTTGTAGATGCAGATGTCATAGCTGTGGAAGGAGAGGGGGCGATAAGGAAGCTGGGCTGCCCCCCTAGCCCCGATGATGCCACCATGCCTGTCTCTGGGGGTTAAGCTCTGCTTGGGAGTGCCACCTGCCTCTCACCCGAAGCCTCACGCTCTGGCTCCAGCTTGCCTTAGGGATAATGTGGGACATGAGCGAGGACTGAGAGGATGAGTGAAGGAGCGCCTTAGGACTCCAGTGGCCCCATACCCGCCGTCCCAGATACGTAGGCTCCCAGCTGCTCTCCCATCTCTGGCTTCCCAAGGGGGCGGCTGATTAGTCCCAGCCTCTCCATCTGGCAGGTGATCCCCTGCTTGGACCTGCGTGGTCCCCTAAACTACCCGTCCCCCTGGCCCACCTCTTGGAGGCCTCCCCAACCCTCACCGCGTGATGAGCACCGCTGTGTCATGGTTGGCCACACCGTTCTCCGGAATGGCGTTGCCATGGCCGCTATGGTTCACAATGGATTTCTGCCACTTACAGAAGCTGTCCAGCGACTTCCCGGCGTGGTGCGTGATCTCCAAAGTGGGCTGAGGATGGACAGAGTGAGGGGCATGGGCGCCAGCCACCCAGAGAGGGCAGGCGGCACTGGTGTGCGGGGAAAGGGGCGGGGTACCTGGTCCTCTGTGAGCAGGATGAGCCGTGTGACCAGGATATTAACGATGTTTCCCAGACTCGAGTCTTGGAAAAGTTTGGCAACCTGACCTCCAAGAAACAAGAGAAACGGAGTCTTAAGAGGGGCCCAGAGTAGCAAACAATGAAAATACAACCACAGCAGCTCGCTTCATCACATTCCCACTGCATGCCCAGCCTCAGGCTAAGTCTGTGCATCTATCTTTGCACGAGTAGGTACTATTCCCATTTTGCTGATGAGCAAACTGTTGCACAAAGAGATGAGAAAACACAGCTGGTAGGTGTCATAAGTAGGATTCGAATCTGGTAAGCCTGCCTGCAAAGTACTGGTTGCTTGCCAGTACATTTCTTCTGACTCACCCTTGCTCAGCTAGTCAGGTTTTTTTTTTTTTGTTTTTTTTTTTGTCTGTTTTTGCCCTTCATCCCTCCCCTGCCAACCCCCTGGCTGCCTTGAGCATCTCTGCCCAGCAATGGCCTGAGGGATGTGCCTCATTCCATGGCCATCTAAAGACACCAATTTGAGCATCACTACAAAAAGGTGGAAGTGTAGGGGCAGGAAGCTCTAGAGATAGTGGTCCGTGGGGAGGAGGATGTGGCCCAAGGGCGACAGGGCACAAATGACGCAGGTCACACCATGCAGTGATTAGGATATCAATGCCCCAAAGTGGAAATCCACAGAAACCCTAGCAGGTGTTAGGAAACTTTGAAAACCTACGGGAGAGAGGGGCAGGACTGAGGAAGAAAGTGGTGGAATCAGATATGCCGTCATGTGAACATGCAGCCATCTGTCTGCTGAGCTTTTTCTTTCCCGTTTTGCTTCAGTGACACAAGAGCACCACTCATCGTCCTTTGTATGTGCCAACCGCTCTATCTGGCTTCCCTCCCGCCAACTCTCATGCTCTGTTGTAGACACTATTACAACACCATTTTACAGAGGGGGAAACTGAGATTCAGAGGGGCCCAGAGACTTGAGATCTAATATGGCTACTGAATGTGGGTCAGCGAGGTCAGCTGTATGAATCCTCAGGCGAGCTGTATGAGTGAGAACTCCACATGCATACAGATGTGTGCCCATGTGTGTGCTGGTAACCTCAACACGTACCTGCGAGCTGCATACTGATTTTTATATAGCAAACAATTATGCAACCCTTATTGTGTACCCAGTGCTTTATCTCGTCACTGCAGCCACCTTTGTCTTATAAAGCAAAGACTATTATTATCCTCACCAGAGGCCTGGTGCACGAATTCATACATGGGTGGGTCTCTCAGCCTGGCCAGCGATTGGGGCCAATTGAGGGGGCAGGCTGGTGGGGGAGATGGGCTGTTGGCACGAGCATCTGCCCTCTGGTGGTCAGTGTGTGTCATAGCAACCGGTCAACCAGTCATTCAGTCATTTGGTTGTTTGGTTGCTTAGGCTTTTATATATATAGATTTTACATATGAGTGAACCAAGGCAGAGGTGCAGTTATTGGTCCAAGGGCATACAACTGAAAAGTGGCAGAGTTGGGATTTTAGCCCAGGCTAGCTGGCTTCAGAGACCATGATCCTAGGCACTGGGCTCTGCAATCTTCCCTTCTCTCCCTATCCTCCCCCCACCCCCCATTCTGTGTCTCTGGCCTCAGGAAGCAGGCGGGGGTGGGATGGTGACACCCTTTTCCGGACCTCTGGAGGCTGGCTCCAGGTTCTTGGGGCTTCATTCCCTGGGAGGGGGAGGCACTTACAATGTTCATAATGGCTAGCACGTACTGTTCCACGTCTCGGCGCCCGTGGTAGGCCACCATCATCTTGTCAGCCACGACCAGGGTCTCCACGTAGCGCTCTCGGCTGACGGAGCGCTTCAGACCCAGCTGGCTGCGCTCCGTTTCATTGCCCAGGGGCCTGGCAGGTGGCGGCTTCAGGGTGCGCAGCCACCATGGCCGCCCCTTCCACGGTTTCTCATCTGGATGGATAATTTCTGGTCATTAGGCTGCTTGCTCTTTTGGTCCGATTCCCTGTATGCTGATCCACCTGCCCAAATGGGCTGTCAAATACCTTGTTCTTTTGCTAGTGGGTGTTCCAGTTGTCCAAAGTCTGATTTCTAGGAACGCTCCATTAAGTGGAAATCTGGTTCTACACAATGTGGCTGCCCTACTGCCAAACTGGTTGGCTGAACCGCTGCCGGGTACACCACACCAACTACCACGATTGGTGGCACTCACTGCAGGAACTGTGTGATGGTGTGTTTTCAAATACAGAGCTTCCTAATCAACACACCGCACAACTGCCTGGCTACAGAACAAAACAGCTGCTTTGATGGCCTTACTGCCCGACTGCCTGTGCCTTCGCCTGTGACCCCATCCAGCTTTCCGTCTGTACAATGGACTGTGGTTGTCTGTCTGCCATGGTATCCTACTCTCAGCCTCTCCAGTTTAGACAACCACGGAATATCCCAGAGCTCGCAATCCCACCAGACAGCCACAGTTTTCCAGGCAGGCAGTAATCCTGGAGATGGTTTTACACCCAAGCACCTGTATGGCTATCCAGCTGCCTGTCTCCTGCTGGACCACTGGACTCTGGCAGTGATGGATGGGGTGTCTCCCACTCTTCCGCTGTCTGACTGATGCCAGTCCTCCCCTCACATAGCTGCCTGCCGACCTTCTGGATAAGAGACACGTGCTGCCTACCTCTGCCTTACGGTAAAGATGTCATGTGGCCCCTTTGCCCGTCCCCAGAGACAGATGTACCTCTCACTCCACAGGCTGTATCCAGATGGGGGTGACGCAGGGAGGAACGCTTGTACACCACATGGGGGCCACTCTCCTCTGGGCCCCGGCCCCTTTTGGCTCCACTTTGTAGAGGCTCAATCAAGTATTCTTCCTCATCTGCCACAATCAGGCCATGCTGTGGGTGGGGGGAGTGGGACAGAGGGCATGGATCAGTTCCTGGCCCCCAGAACCCCTGGGGTCATAGCTCTTTATTTTGTTCCTTTAATCTTCCTGGGTTTAGGTTGCTATGCCTTTTATGATCTCTTGAGAATGATATTTAGCTGATTACATTTCAGCCTGACCAAATGCTATTCATTTTCCTTTAAGTACTGCTTTAGCTGCACCCTAAATTAGCCAGTCCTTTTGATGAGCTCAAAATGCATTGACTATTTCCACTATGATTTCCTCCCTGACTTATAGTTAGAAGTGTTTTTCTCAGCTCCCAAACTTATGGGCATTTCCTCCCTGCCTCCCAGAACCCTCTGCTCACCAGGCCCCCACAGGTGCTGATGGCCACACGAGAGCTGTCCGCCTGGCCCTGCAGATGGCCGGCATAGAGGCAGTGGGGCCGGGCGGCCCTCTGCCAAGCCAGGCCCTCCCGTGTCCAGTACTCCACAGAGACATGTCCTGCTAGAAGGCGCGAGCTGTGGGTCAGGTTCAGCAGGAAGTGGGTGCTGGGCGCAGCCACCTTGTAGAAGAGACGGGACTCTGCTGCAGGCCCTGTGCCCCGGCGCTGCCTCCGGGGGGCAGGGGGCGAGAAGGCCAGCAGTGCCCCGTTGTCATCCACTCGGGTGGGGAAGGCGATCTCATAGTTCTCCAGGCTGGACAGGAACTCATCTGCAGGCGAGGATCAGAGGCCTGGGGCGGGCCCTGGGAAGGACCCCTGGGTCCTGGCTGGCTGCTTGTCTGTAGGGCAGGTTACGCTAGCCCCACTGGCTCCTGAATCCAGGCCACCAGCTGCAAGACTGGACTTCCTGACCCTGGGGCCTCCCCACTCTCCTCCCTTGACAACGGCAGTCCCAGTCTCACGGATCCCTCCTTCACTTCTTGCTCCCTCCCAACCGACGCCCCTGGACCACCCCTACCTTGAGACCGGAAGGCGTGTGTGACCTCGAATGTGAGGCCCAGCCCCAGGGCAAGGGCCCAGCGGAGGATCTGGCAGGCGGGAGCCATAGAGACCACGTGTCCACATGTCTCTCCCCTGCCCCGGCTGCCGGCAGCCCCCACAGTGCCGCCTTTCCTGTTCACAGCCTGGACAGCATCACTGGGCTCCTGGGGGTGAGGGTGGGGGGAGGAGAGCTGGGTCAGTCCCCTCCCCAGGCTGACAGGGGGACTGCAGCTCCTTACTCCCAGGCATGTCCCCTGGTTGGAAGATTCCAAAGGCATTTCCTCACCACGCAGCTCCCTGTCCCCACCCCACATCCTCCCTGCACTCTCGGCTCTGTGAGCACCTACTCTGTGCCTGCTACAGGCCTGAGTAATTTCACCTCATTTCTGCAATAACCCGGGGAGGACCCATTCACTGGGTAATGACTGAGCATGTCAGGGACACAGTGTCTGCTCTCCCCTTTTGGGCTCCGTCTCCTGGGAGTGACAGATGACAGGCAAGTAAGTAAAGAGTTCAGATGTGACACGGTATCTAGAATAACAGGAGGCTCAGAAGCAGAGGTGCGAAGGATGAGAAGAAAGCAGCCATGTGAAGAGACAGGCCGAGAACAGCAGGATCAAAGGCCTGGAGGCAGGGAGGAGCGTGTGGATCTTGGACCACGAGGCTCGAATACAGGGGGCAGGAGGCCAGCACGGGAAACTGGCACAGATCCTCCTGAAGGCAGGTCAATGTCAAGTTTCGGCCCAGATTAAACCTGAGGCTGGAGCTTGGCTCCTCCCTCCCTGTCCCCAGGCCTATGCCTGTGGATGCTCTGCCATAGGTAGCACTATTCACCACCCCAGCAGCCGGAACCCCTTCCAGCATGGTCTGGGTCCCAGGATTCGCAGCTATCTGCCCCAGGCCAGCCTACACAGACACCACTTCGGGCCACCGCTCTGTGCCAAACCCTCCTGTCCCTTCTGTCTCCACCCTCCTCCCTCCTAATCACACACTGTCTTGTTTTCTTTGCAGCCCGGCCAAGTCTGGGAGCTGATCCCCAAACAGGGTAGCTCAGCTCCAGCGGGATGGAGCCAGGTTTTCTCTCAGATCCCGACGTCGAAGCCAACACTTCCCGCTTCTGCTTGGACTCCTCCCGTGACGGGGAGCTCACTCTCTGGCACTCTGCGACCCAGCTGCTCCCTTCGGCTGGGCTGAGCTTTACCGCTGGGTTTGCTGTTTTTGTTTTACCTCTGGAGGCTTCAGTCAGTGCCACGGCGTCAGATCCCTGAGCGCCAGCCTCTCTGGGCCTGTCTCTTCTGCAGAGCCTGGGCAGGGAGAGGAGCTGGGCTGGGCGGGAGGTTCAGGGGTCACCGAGAAAACGCTGCCCTTCTCTCTGGCCCCAGTGAACCTCCTCTTGGATTCCATCCTCCCTTCCCCTCCCCCCTCCCAGAAGCTCACCACCCCTCTCCTCTCCCTCCTCTCTGCTTTGCCAGCCCCTCCCTCATTTCCGATGGCCTCCTCTCCCCTCTTCCACGCGGAGAGGACCAGTTAGGGATCAAAGCCCTTCCTGGTGGACTCCCCTGGGTCCCCGCTGGCTTAAGGCCCTCCCCCCAGGCTAAGGTGGCAGCATTTTCATTGCTAGGGAGGCTGGAGCCCTCCCCCACCCCTGTCCCTCTTCCTCCGCCTGCAGAGAGGAATCTTATCCGAGAGGCTCGGTGGCTCTCATCCTGGCTGCTCTGTTTGCCTCTCTTCCTGCTCCAGCCTCAAATCCTCATCCTGTTCTGAGGCTGACCCCCTCCCCCCAATAACCTCACCCCCTCTCTGTGCGTCCAGTTCAGGTGGAATGTGGCGGGCAGCGCTGAAGGATCCAGCGTCAGTGGGTGGAGGAAGGGGGAGACGGGAAGGGGAGTCAGGGGTCTGGGATGTGTGTGTGGGGGGCACACAGGTAGGGAGAACACTGGGACGGTGGCCCAGTCTGCGGTGGCTGGGAAGTGTGACCTGTCCCAGCGCTGGTGGGGCCACAGGAGTCAGGGGGTCGGGAGGGGACAGGAGGCTATATCCCGAGAGGGGATTCCAGGCTCCAGCCGGCTGGGACCACGGATGTCAGCAGGGGATTTCTGTGGTGTGTGTGTGTGTGTGTGTGTGTGTGTGGAACTGTTATGTGCTTGTGTGAGGGTGTGTGCCTGTGTGACCCTGTGTGAGGCTGTGTGTGCCTGTGTGGCTGTGTGTGTGCTGTGTACCCAGGCCAGGCCAAACCCCCGGCCCCTCCTCCCAGGCAGGAGGAGGCAGGCAGTCTGGGGGAGGCTGCCAGCAGCTGGAGGAGGAAATGCCGCGGAAGAGGCCCGGAAACAGAGGCTCCATCCCCTCCCCGGGATCCTGGAGGGACCCGCGGCTCCACACCCAGACCTCCTGGGCCAGCCAGCAGGACAGGGCCTCCCCGTGGAGGCCAAGACCTCAGCGGCCGGGCCAGAGGCCTCGCCAGCCCGGCTGCCAGCTGCCTCCGGCGCTGCTATTTGGCCAGGCAGACCCTGTGGGGCCGCAGACAAAGGCTGGCCGCCCACCCCACCCTGCCCACAGCCCCGCGGTCCCCCTGACCGGCCGCTAATGAAAGGCCTGGAGCCGGATGGGCTGGAGACACCCCGAGACAGAGTGGCCGCGCTGACCAACTCGGGGGAAGTGGGCGGTGCCACACTCACACCCAGACACACAGACACACACTGGCAGCCACACACTCCGGCAGCCCCACCTGCGTAGCTGCCGACCAACAACTGGACCCCAGAGACCCACAGGGGACCCCCCCCCCCACAGTACATACACACTCCCCAGCCCTAAGTGCACACAGAGAAATAGACAGAATAGACACACACACACACACACCGGGCTTGCACACACAGACATGTACACTCATTCACACAACCAGAACAGGGACAAAGTAACCAAGTCCTACAGACTCTCACACACCCCAGACCCTCTGACATCCAGGCATTAGCGGTCACACTCAGACACGTCTGAGACACACAGATGTTTGGAGAGACACACTCCACCAGACACGGACACACACAGCGCACCACTGATGCCCACACACTGGCTGACGCTCACACTCAGGCAGACAACACCCCACCTCACCAGCACACATGCAGACGCACACATGCAGACGCACATTCACTTACACATACGTGGATGTACACACACACACACACACACACACACACATACACACACACACACCGCCGCTCACTTGAACTCAGCGTCGCACACGCTTACAGACACAGCACCCCAACGCTCCCCCCGGCCACGGCCGCCCCATCCCCATCCCACACAGACACACAGACACACAGACACACAAAGCCCTCAAGTCAGCAGCCCCCGCCGGCCCGCCAGCCCCGCGCAGTTACCGCGGCCGCCCGCCCGCCGCCGGGCCTCAGTCGCGTCTCCGCCGCAGTCTCGCCGGCCGGGCCCGGGAGGAGGGAGGAGGGAGGAGGGCGGCGGGAGGAGGCGGGAGGAGGAGAGAGAAGGGAGAAGGGAGGAGGAGAGAGAAGGGAGGAGGAGGGAGGAGGAGGGAGGAGGGGGGAGGAGGAGGGAGAAAGGAGAAGGGAGGAGGAGGAGGGAGGAGGAGGGAGAAGGGGGGAGGAGGAGGGAGAAAGGAGAAGGGAGGAGGAGGGAGGAGGAGGGGAAGGGAGGAGGGGGAGCGGCGGCGGCGTGGCCGGGAGGGCGGGCGGCGCTTCCGGAGCGGCCGGCCAGGCTATAAAAAACCCCGAACCGCGCCGCCAGGGCCCGCCCGCCGCCGCCCGTCCTGCCCGCGGGCTGGACCCGAGCCAGGGCCCCGGAGCTCGGCCGCCGCGGGGAGGGGAGTGCGGGGCGGGCGGGGCGGGAGGGGAAGAAGGTGGGAGGCGGGGAGGGGAGGGGACGGAGGGGCAGTGGGAGGGGAGGGATGCGGGTAAGGGGCACCTGAAGGGGAAGGGGAATCGGAGGGTGGGGAGGCGGATCGCATGGGGATGGGAGAGGAGGGGAGGGCTGGGGGAGGAGGCCGGCGGGGGGGGCGGGGGAGGAGGCCGGCGGGGGGGGGGCGGGGGAGGAGGCCGGCGGGTCGGGGTTAGGCGGAGGGACGGGGTGCGAGAGGAACGGGAGGGGCGGCCGGTGGGGAGGGCAGGCGGCTGCCTGGCCCGCGTCCAGCGCCCCGACAACAGCTGTTATTTATTGAGAGCGAGGCCTCCTCCAAACAGGCACTGAGGGCGCCTCCGGTGCCCCGCGCCTGCCGGGCCGCGTCCCCTCCATCTCCCTGCCTCCCGGGCTCCCCGCTGGGCGCGGGCCTGCTGGGGCCGCCAGGCCGGTCCCACTTTCCGGAAGGAGAAACTGAGGACGGAGGGGGCGCAGGGAGAGTGGGGAGGGGAGTTGGGTGAGAGCTGAGGGGGGCAGAGATTGGGGGGAGGGGCTGGCTCAGTACTGAAAGGAGGCGGAGCTGATGCGTGGATGGGGGGACCAGGGCAGCTGGAAGGGGTGAGAAGGGAACCTTCGTGGCCAGGCGCCCCCCAGGCTCCCAGGTGCCCCAGAGGGATTAGGGGGTGACCCCCGGTTCACAGTTCCAGGCTTTCCCCAGGCAGAGCCTGGCCTTGCCCTTGGCTTTCTCTGAGTCTCTGCTGCCGCACCCATGTGGTAGTGGGGCCTTCAAAGGGCCGCTGGGGTGGATGGGGTTCGTGGGTATTGTTTGTCCTGAACTTGGAATGACAGGCCAGGGCTCATGCACGCAGCAGATACCCTGCAAATACCAGTTTCCGGAGCTCCCCCTGCACCCTGGCATCATCCCAGGCCGGGCTAGAGGGGCAGGGTGTTCTCTCCCCACTGCTCTGGGGCTTCTTGAGCCCCAAGAGGAGCAGAGGGCCTCCCTCACCCAGGCCTGCTGGGAGCCGCCTCAGCCGCCTTCCGGACCTCTTTCCACAAGAGGTGCGGCCTCTGCCTTCGGTCTGCCCTTCAGCCCAGCGGCTGCTCGGTTGATGGGGAGGCCACTTCAGCTCTAGGAATTTCAGAGATGCTCTGAGCAGGGAGTCCACACTCTGCCACGACTGGAAACCTCTTCTGAGCTGGCCCT